AGCCAAGTGTGATGGCTTGCAACTTTAATCTAGCACTCAGGAGGCAGAGACAGGTAGTTCTCTGTGAGTTCTAGGCCATCCTGATATACATGGTGACTTCTAGGTCATCCAGGTCTATTTAGTGACTCCCTGTCTCAAAAATACAAACAAACCAAACCAAACAAAAACATTTGGGCCAGGCTTAGTGGCTCATGCCTGTAATCTTAGAACTTGGGAGAAGAATCTACAGAGGCAGGAGTTGAAGGTCAGACCTAGCAAGGTCAAAGAAAAATCTGGCTACATGAGACCCTTCATCGAAAGAAAAAAAAATGAATATATTATAAAAAATAAACTTTTAACACATAGCCATTTTTAGACTACAATAAAAATATTTTAATAGTATACCCTATCACATTTTAACTTGTTCTTTAAATGCTGTAAATAGTGTAATATAAATAAAATTAACCTAATGGTCAGTTTCTGGATATCAAAGGTAAATACAATTCCAAATGGACAAGATATTTACATACAAATTAATTACATGGGCATGAGTAGGTGGAAAGCACTTGCTTAATTATTGGGAATTCTCAGTGGGTTGTGCTTAAATGAAAATCTATTTTTCAATTTGTTCTAGAAAGTTTGCCAATTTGAGCATTTTGGTAAGCTGCTGAGTTACTTTCAAAGCAAGAACACTCTTCAAACAAGACTGTTTCCCTCACATAATCAATTTGATTCCAAATCTTTTCTGATTCATATAGAGTAGAATATTTTATTCTCGTGAAAATGTGAAGTAACAGCAGAATTTTCATCCTAAATCTGAGGGGAAATGCTCACATACTCTATCAAGCACTGCATAGTAATGTAATTAGTTGAGATTAAAAATGCTCCCTTAGAAGCCAAAAGTGCTGCAAAACTTTCCTAACAAATGCAGGTATTGCACAGACTTGTAAATAAGATTTCTCAACAATAGTCATTTAGAAGACACAAATATAGGAAATAAGAAAGTGAAGGATTCTCCTGTTAAATTGCCAGTAGTGGGAGCAACTCCTTCATTATTTGCATGGTTAATGATGTAAGACCAGCTTTATCAATCAATATTAATATAAACTCATTTCACACTGTCATTTTTTTTCTCTTATTTTTCCTTTCAGATAAAGATGCAAACCCCACTACAAGTTGATAGGCCATACAAAGACAGGCATGAGGCCAGATTCAACCCCTTGGCTAAACGTTACAGCCCTCTTTCCAATGACCTTTCACAATTCCATTGATCTGTTTTCAAAGGAAAAAAAAAGTTCATTGACATAAGACTGACTCTAATTATCTATATGTGATAAGAATTCCAAAATTAATTTCAGAAGACAATAGCAACATTTACTACTTTAATTAAGCGTAGGTGCTGTATGGAAGTTATGTTCGTTCTCCACCTTTGCTTATAAGCTATGTTAACCCTGTGCTAAAGGATCAGAAATGGTCCAGAGTTGATGTAATAAGTGGAGAGAATGCCATATGTAAGGAAAAGTAAAAGATCCTAGGATAATGAGTCAGAAAACCCAGTGATCTTCACTTCCAACGGCCATCCATTCACTCACACACTCTGTCACGAATCACATTCATCAGTACTTTGTTATTGCATTCTAGATATTTCATTGTTTTATTCTAGAACACAATACTGAATGTTAATAAGTTGAGGATCTGTCCAATTGTGCCTGGGTTGTATCTGGTAAGAATGATCATCTATCTACTCAAACCAGTTACCTTTCTCTATTATTAATTTTTATCATATTCTTTGGTACTTCCTTCGGGGTAGATAATAGACATATATCCCCGATTTCAACTAAAGGAAACAAAGAACATGGACAGACGCTAACTTCTAATTAAGTCATTAGTGAGCTATTTGGTGGGTGTTAAATATTCTCAGAGCTCAGAGTGTGACTCAGTGTGTCTTTCATCACATTATCTGTCAGAAAGAAACCAAAGCAAAACCTGTCCCACACTTACTAGTTACATCCCATCCTTCTTGTCGTGCATTAACCCCCCTCCACAACTATCTTGATATTCAGAAATTGTGGCTTCTTACAAACAAGTGTAAAATAAATAAATAGCTTCTTGTTATAGTACATCTTTCTTAAAAGGAAGTGAATGACTCAGAGGAAACCAGGAGAACAAGCCCATGTGCCAGGATATCTGTCACTGTGTTTGCATTGCACGGAAAGGATGGCTCAGTGTAGTAGCAAACTTATCTTGACCTGAACAAAAAGTACAACATGAGGGCTGGTTCACATCTTGGAAATGCAGAATGGGACCTCAGAAGCAAAGAATGAGACCCACTCAATATATTTCTTCTTAAATTCACAGGTACTGATCAGAGTCACCAAGAGTGCTGCAGGCACATGGGTTAGTAATCTGTACTAACGTGTGTGTGTGTGTGTGTGTGTGTGTGTGTGTGTGTGTGTGTGTGTATGAGCACATGTCTCTGTGTGAGAGAGAAAGAGAGGGTAGTTGTATTTGCATGGAATATATCTAATGCAAATTTCCCAGTTGATTAATTATATCAATTAATATTCAAATTAGAGTTCAGCTAATCCCACATTTACAGAATCCCCTAGGCAAATGTTCTTATTGTTACCCAAAGGGTGACTCAGTGGATGACAGATTTTCTCCTTGTGAGTCAGGTGTAAATAAGGAGAAAGGTGTTTGCATCCACCCAAGAGACAGGCCTTTAATTTTCTTTTGCTTATGTTCAGTTCCCTCTGACTTTACTAGTGGGATTTAAGATTGATTCACATGTTATTAATATAAAATCTAGTTCAGAAGAGTTATTGGAGGCCTTATAAAAAGACTTTGAAATGTTTATGCTAGTTAGTTGCCTGTCCTTTAGCTCACTTTCACCCTTGTTCAGAAACACATAATACATATTCATTCTTCCAAAAATGACCTTTCTATCCTAACCCAGCAACAAGTGGACCCTGAGGTCTCCAAAATGTAAAAATTGAGGAATAATATTAAAATTAGAAAATGAAATATTTTGTATCTATACTGTCAAAATACTAATAGGAAATTACTAAAAGCCACCTTAATTATCTGAAGCCACTGAGTTATGAATTTTGACACTTGAAGAAAATCCAACTCTTAAACAGGTCTTCTAACCAGGAATTAGAATTTTAATACTTAAGCTTTCCTGATCATTTCAATTCTAGGCTCTCTGAGTTTATCCGATGACTTCACAGAAAACTCCAACCCCAGTGGGTATAGATCCAACACTGAAACTGCACCAGTAAGAGGTCCAGCCAGAGCCAAGCAGACAGGAACCCTAGTCTCTCCTCAAATCCAGAAGAGGTACTGGGGAGGAAAGCCCTTTAATACACATCTTCTGGTTATACTTTGCACCAGATTTCAAACAAGCAGGCAAACATCAAAAGCTCACAACCCAATTATTCATATTAATATACTGGAAACTGAAACACGGGTGATGCATTGGAAAGGCAAACTGGGTTGGTTAGGCCAGTGTCTAGCTCTGTCTGCCCTTCTCAAGGGAAAGAGCCTGTGATGTGCTTCACATCGCAACAGTGACCTCTAGTGCTCCCTCTTCACTGAACAAGTGAAGCTTAGGGAGGAACTGCACCTTTGCCACAGAATTGCACTTGCCTGAGTGGATGGTTCTGGTCTCTTGTGGTCCTTGTTTGTTTATTTGCTACAATGCTTGTCGAAGGCTGTCACCAAAGGACCCCCTAAGATTCTGACTGGGTGAAACCCTGCACATTTTATTGACTTATCCCCACACATCCAATTTAAAATCGGAAGGGAAACAGTGCAGCCCTGGAGTGAAGTTCTCTGCTTTGCAGAGTGGCAGATAAATTGTGACATTAAAGGAGTTCCTGCAAATGGAAGCACACATACCACCATGGCCATGCAGCGTGGATAGACTTGGGTTTGTGGCGATGAGTTCCCACTGCCCTTCCCTCACTAGGACTCTCCAGTAAAGTCAAAGGAGATTCTACAGCAAAGAGAGTGACCAGTTTCTTGTCTCCCAAGCCTAAACCTGGCAATACAGCAGTGGCACCCAATCCTGAACAGGCCTTGTAACACTTTCTTGTAATATAAAGCAGATAAGTCTCGTCATTAAAATCTGAGACAGAAAGAAAAAGTTGTGTTTGCTGAGCTGTTTCCCATGCATGGCAGATGGGAAAATACTTCCATTTAGAGAATTTAAAGCAAAATATAAACTTTCAAAACTTTTCCTATCTCCAATGGTAAGGTGATGAAAGAGTTGGCGATATATTTGGGGTGATGTTTAAATGAAGCAAAGAGACTGCAACAAATGTTCCTTGAATCAATGAACTTAGGACCAAGACATTCAATCACTAACACATGAAGTTGAAAATTCAGCCACTAGAGAACACTACTTAAGGGGGTGGAGGGATCACCTTCATATTTCCCTTTAAGCCAGATGTAAGGCTGGGTGCCCAACCAGGAGTGCTCTTCCCAGGGAGTACAGGGACCTTTAATGCTGAGCTGTGCTTCCTTCCACCAGTTCTGCCTGCCCGTGAAGTCTGCAGTATGTTTCAGTTATTAGCCTGCATCATTTTAGAGATGCAGCCAGCTACTGCTAAATCGCAAACTTCAGAAACCTCAGATAATGCAGCAGAAAGAATGTCAAGTCTGCTGGTTGTTTTCCTGCTAGCCAAATAATCCCAAGGAAATTCAATAACCTAAAGAGAGGTGCTGGGCTGGTCCCTGATTAAGATGCTAATTTAATGTTTTACTAGAAGTTGACTATTCTCAATGAATATTCAAGGAGAGTGAGAGTCTGCTAGTTAAAAAAAAATAGTCCAGTTAACATTTTACATATTCTGACCAGACCAATAGAAACCCAGTCCTATTGCACAATTCTCCTGTGGTACTTCGCTTAGCCCCCCACAGCGATTCCAGTTGAAAAGATTAATCATAAAAACAACAAAATCAAAGTTTTGTGCTTAGCTCCCCCCCCCGCAAGTTTTAAATCATTTGCTGTGACTTACACGAATTCCCGGCTTCCACTCTGTTCCAGTTGTGAGTAGACAACAGAAGTAACGTCTTGAGGACAGCTCCAGTGACAGATCCCATATTCATAATTTTTGAGCTCCCCGAAAGATCTCGAGTGGCTCTCAGGGCGCGCTGGAGACAGGTTCTCCTCGGTCCTTCACCCAGCACTGAGTCTTCAGTGTCTCCAGCTCTCTGGCTCTCTCTTTCCTCCCTCCCTCCTCTCACGCGCTACTGCTCCCCCCCCCCCCCTTCCCTGCTCCCCTCCTCCTCCTCTCTCTCTCCTCTCCTCTCTCTCTCTCTCTCTCTCTCTCTCTCTCTCTCTCTCTCTCTCTCTCTCTCTCTCTCTCTCTCTCAGTCTCTCTCTCTCTCCTCTCTCCCTCTCTCTCTCTTCTTGCTCCCCCCACCAAGCACTGGTTCCTCACTGAAAAGCAACCAGCATCTGTCCTAACAAGCTTACACACTACTGCCGCCGAGGCCACGCCCACTCATCGCAGCGGTCCTAGAAATTGGCCCCAGCATCCTACCTCTTCTGAAAAGCACAGCACCAGCTAGCAGTTTTCTGAGCTCTGCAGCCACTGCAGGTGATGGAAGCTGGACCTGGAGGCGCTGCCCGCTGCTCCTGGCCTCCTCGGGGCTTCCTCCCCTCCCCTCTATTCTCAATAAGCCTTAACCCATTTTGTGCCCTGCCAGCCTTGTGGGGTGGGGGAAGTGGCCAGGCAGAGAAGCCTTCTGATTTTCCGCAGGTCTTGTATTTGGCAGGGCCAACCAACATACTGAGCTATTTCCTGATTGCCTGGGAGTGTATCCAGGTAAAATTGCATTATGTTTCAAAACAAAAGCATAAAATAAGACAGAAATAACAAAGCAAGAATTGGTGAATTGTAGCTAAAACTGTCCTCCGGGAAAATGCTTGCTGCTTTTTTCTCTGTTTCTATAAAACTATCGCCTTTTGCTCTGGTGCCAAGGTTTTATTACGGAAATTCCTCACATGGGAACAGACATTCCTGCTTGGCAGATATTTAAAAATCATCTGATAATAGTCTGCAAGAAATTAACATTTCTTATTTTAGTTGGTGCTTTAGGAATACAAATCCACCAGTGGAGTGCTCTGGGTAGATTGAGTTTCATGAACGCACCCTTCTGTGAGTAGGCAGCATTCCACAATCGTGTTCTTTAATAGTAATTCCCCGAGGGCCCCAAATGGAAAATGGAAAATGATGGAATATTGAAAAACGGGAACCCCCCCCCACACACACACACACGATTAGCTACTATAAAGAATACTCTTCCAATGGCCACTCCAAGGGTACTATTGCTTGTGCTGAATATTAAAACACTTAAATGATGAAGCTAAGGCCCCATACAGAGCAGCACATCGCATGGTGTCAGAGAGGGTAAATCATCTCTTAAAAATAAATGTCAAGATGCCTTCCTGCTGATTAGCTAGGTGGTGTAAAGACAGGAATCCGGAGCTCTCAAGCAATATCTTGGTGTTTGGAACAGGGAGAAGCTCAAGCCTTTCCCCTTATCAGCCTTGATGGGCTATGAAAACGGGGTGGGACAAGAGAACCATCCATACACCAAGCATAATTGTTTAGCCCTTGACTTCAAACAAGGCTGAATGGATAGTTTTGCTTTTCCTGTTTTTCAGATGAAAAACCAAGAACAGAGAAGGAAATGGTTTGCAGGATAAATGAGTTAGCAAGTAAGGTGAAGAAAGCTGGGCTTGGGTTTGGGGCTCTGGTTCTACTGATCTCAGTCTAGGGCTTGGTGACCTCATATCAGAGTTCACCCCCCCCCCCAGACTCCTGAAAAAAAAAAAAGCCAGTCCTGAAAACCACTATCAAGGAAAAAAGAAGCAGGGCCTGAGTATTCCCTGTGTTCCTAGACCTAAATTCCTGGCTTTGCCTTTCTGGGCATGAAATGTCAAGAAAAACAGCTCCACATTAATAATTTATATCAGTAATTATCAACTTATTATTTAATTAAATTACTAAAGTGATCATTTGAGGAAGATATCTTGTGCCTACAGAAGGGAGAGATGAGCCCTTCTAGACCTCTGTGAGACTGCTCTGTCCAGAATGCTACTCTGAGTAAAAAGGAAACATGGAGGGTTGAAGACAAAACTCAGCTGATAAAAGAGTATTTACCTAGAAGGCACAGGGAGGGAGAGAGGGAGGGAAGGAGGGAGGAAGGGAGAGAGGGAGGGAGGGAGGGAGGGAGGGAGGGAGGGAGGGAGGGAGGGAGGGAGGGAGGGAGAATAGACTGACAACATTTGACATTCTGATCTATGGACCTGTAAAATTGTTGCTTTGACAGCAAAGTGTTGGGCTTTCCAAAAGGAAATGTTTTTATCACCCTACTAAACTTGTCACTGTTTACATAGAAACAAATGAGGAAATTTGAAGATTAGTATTGTATCAAAATTGGGAAATAATTTCATATATATATATGTATATATATATACACATATATATTATTATGATGATTGAAAATTTAAGACAACCTTGGCCTGGCCACACATGTCCATACTCCAGTTACTCCAGAGGCTATGGCAGGAGGACTTCAAGGCCTTCTCCAGGTTCAGTTCCCAGCACCCACATGGCAGCTTACAATCATCCCTACATTCCTCCAGTTCCAGGAAATCCAAGGCCTCGTGATATCTGTGTATACTGTATACAATCAGTGCATATACAAATACATATATATAGAAAATACTCATATACAAGAATAAAAAAGTCTAAAAAATTAAATAAAAAGTGGTCCTACTCTAGCAAGATAGCTAATGGGTAAGGGCATTTGCCATCACCAAACCTGATGACTTAAGTTTGGCCTTCAGATCTGACATGGTAGAAGGAGAAAAATCAACTTCACAGGTTGTCCTCTGACCTATACATATGTGCTGTGGCTTATGCATACATGTTCACAAACCACTTGCACACTCGCACAAAATAAATACATAAGTATTAAATGTTCTTTAAGCAAAATATACACTAAAAACAAAATCTGGGAATGTAGCTCAGGGCCTAGTGTGCAGAAGGCCCTATGCTCCGTTCTCAGTGTGAATTACCTAAGGTGCTTTTCGAGAGGGACCTTTCATGCTGATAGACTACAATAAGAGAATTCCTTGAAAGTGGGTGCTGATTGGAAGACACTGTAATTTCAGGTCCCTAAAAAACCCTTCTCTGCCTAATGGCCAGAGGGGGACAGAGGTTGGACATGATAAACAGAGAGACCCAAATGTGAACGCAATTTCCACTGTTACCCTGATTAAATTTCTCAGTCAACTTAGTCTTTGGCACCTCATCTGAAAAAAAACAAAAAATGAAAATAAACAGAGAGTCCTTCTGCTCTGCGGTGGACAGTACGAACCTCGTGTCTGAGCTGTGACTTGGCAGTCAGTTCCCAGATGGCACAAGTGCATGTAGTTGTCAGAATCAATGCATTCCCAAGGCTCATGCTACACCAAGTTGTGGCCAATGAGACGTGATCTGCTGACAGCAGAAAAGGGTTAGACACCAAGACCTACTGACCTGTGCTTTGTTTCTCTGATTCCACTAGAATGGCTGGAAAGGAAAATTAATGTGGTGACACATACCTAAGTCCCAGCTCTGTAGAGGTAGAGACAGGAATATCAAAAGTTTGAGCTCAACTTCATCTACATAGCAAATTCAGTCTTCAATCTCAAAATTTTATGGCTGAGACAAGAGGATCACTATGAACTTGAGGTCAGATCTTGGAAACAAAGTGAGTTTCAGATCAGCCTCTACCTCTGAGTAAGACTTTTCCTCAGAGGGTGGGGAGGGGAGGGATAGGTGAGTTTAATATTAAGGTTTCTTCTCAAAATAATATATGTATGTATGTATGTATAAAGCCAAAATAGAAAATCAACTTCATTTTGAGGATATACATATAAATCAGACTTTAGTGTAAACATAATTGCTAAAACAAGGTCTGACCAACAATGTGCAATTGTCAAATCTTGTGTATCAGTGGCTCTTCTGTCATGTTCAGAGGTACAAGATATAAGCCCAGATGTATACACAGGGAGAACTCATTCAAGAAGTCTGACTTAGCTGTACAAACTTTGCACAATTAGGGGATGAGGAGATGGCTCATAGGTAAAATGTGTTCACTATGAGCACAAGGACCTGAATCTATGTGACCCTCAGCATAACTGTAAAAGCACAGGCATGGTGGCGTGTCTCTGTAATTCCAGCACTGGGAAGGTGGATCAGGTGGATCCTTGGTTAGGCAGCCTAACCTAGTTCATGAGCTCTGGGTCCCAGGGAGATTCTCTGCCTTAAAAATTAACACAAGGCAGTCCTAAAAGCAACACTTGAAGTTTATTTTGGCCCCCACAAGGATGCATGTGCACACACACACACACACACACACACACACACACAAACACATACACACATCACACACAAAATTAAGCTATTGTACTTTTCTTATTTCTCGTATTTATTTGCTTGAGGGTTTTTTTGTTGTTGTTGTTGTTTAGTTGTTTGTTTGAGACAGGTTAGCTGGACAACTGACTGAACCCAGCCCTGAAGGCCTGGAGAGCTGCTTACATTAGGTCCACACAGAAAGGCTGCAGCAACTGGAGTCAAATGGCCAGTGAACAAAGGAAGCAACACACAGTCAGAAAAGACCTAGTCCTGCTGGCACATGTGCACCTCCTTCCTCTACATCTTATCATCCAGGGCACCAACCCACTAAATACCGCCAGTCACACTCAGGGCAAGTCTTTCTCTCACTGTCATTGCCCCACACATTAATCCTCCTTGGATGTAGCTCCAGAGACACAGATGCGTTCCATGGGGTCTTTGACCTCTCTTACCCCAGTCAAACTGAAAACCATAACCAAAGATCACAATGGCTTGATTGTATTAAATATCATGTACATTTACATCATTGTCTAATAGACCTCTCTGGAATGTTTTAATCTTACAAAACCATCATCAAACACCAATCCCTCCACTCATCAGACCTGAGTAACCACTGTTTTACTCCTTTGAGTTACTTAGCTATTTCATATATGTGGAACCACAGAGCATGTGCCCTTTTGTGACCAGACTGTTTCACTTAGCATAAGGTCTCAAAGTTCATCAGATTGCAGGAAGTGGCAAATGTCCTTTTAAAGGTTACATGATATTCCATTGTGCAAGTGAGTCACTTTCTGTTTCTTCCTTCATGGGTCAATGGAC